CATAAGGGGCTTCGCGTGGCAAGCCAGAGTCAGTCTCGCCCACGTGCTCGATCCTGCGGTTTTGCCGACATCGACGCCCGCGACACTCCGCTGCTTTCTTCTGTTCCCTTTTTATTTTTGGGCACGAGTTCGCGCCATTAAACGTTTAGTTTCTTCAGTTATTATCGCCACATCACTTGTCATTCGTGACAATATTTTGCTTTCTGTTGTACTGAGTGCTAAAACTCCACCTTGTATATGCCCTTCTAGGCTAATCGTATTAATAAACAAACAAAGAAATGACAGGACTGCCACAGTTTATGAAAATGGCACGTTAGGCATCTTTGCAACCACTTAAAAAATATTAAAAACATTAAGAATGAAGTACGTCTATAAAAGGTGTCTTTCTATTATTTCTTCCTATGCCGGGCTCCCTTTATTGAGCACCTGATTTCTGCCTTCACCCTATTTTCACAGATTTTGAACCTGCGCGTGATGTTTTGAACACAAAACAAGCACCTTTACATATATACACGAAGAAAAAGATTAAACCAATACACATTCATTGCAAATTAAAATATATTACTAGCTCTTCACATTACTTTCATCAACTACATCCACAGAGAGTTACCAACCCTATACTACGCATTTCTTGCGTCTCTCTTGTTCTTTCAGATATCCTTCTTTCGCTTGGCACGTAAATTCCCCATGCAGATAAGCGCCGCACCGTGTTCGAGCCAAGAGTGCCCACAGTGCACACAAATGTAACTATGAAGTTGTTTTATTACTGTGTTTAATACCTTGAATTAAAAAAAAAAAAAATAACTGACCTATATTTTTATTTACGTTGTTGAGAGAAGTTTCGAGTTATTTACTACGCTATAAATATTCGCTTTTTTCCTATTATAATCAAGCTCAAAGTCAAGATGCAACCGCTTTGTCTGCTAGAAATTACCGGTGTATGATTTTCGACTGGTTGCTGTCCGTTTCAATTCTCAACAGCGCACTAGCGGCAGCTGAACCTCTATTAAGGTGGCGATGCTGGCGAGTTGCTTAATGTCGAAGAAACAGCACAGCAAACACAGACAAAAGTAGCAGAAGGAAACGGAACGAGCGCCTTCTCTGCGCTGAACCTTTAGCGCACATTAGAATGTCTCCATATTTCAAACGATAAGGAACATGGATGGCGGCGTTCGCGGCGTGCTCAACGAGCGTAGATTGTTTAGATCGTTCATTTATATGACTCTGTGCCGTTTTGCGTTCACCGGGGTCTCAACCGACCAAGTTTGCCGCGAATATCTGAGTACGCAACATCGCAAGTTCTGCGCGGGTGCTGGTTTTCGTAGCGGCACTGGCCTTAGCCTAGCGTACTACGTCAGCTATTTAGCTTGATCTTGAATGATTTATTCGTTTGCGCGTGTTGATGCTCAATAATGACGTTAGCCCCCGTAAAAGTGGCCGCACTGCTCTTTGAATTGTGAAACCGCCGTGATTGCGACCAGGCTTTCAATACCGAGAAGATACATACACAGATAAAACTTCGCGAGCCATTGGGCTGGAGACAATCGTGTGTTCACCTCGCATCAAGTTTGTCCAGGTATGTTCCCGTAATTTCCCTTTGAAAAGCAAGTAGCTCTTGAGCTTAGCAACGAATGCTCTGGGCCTGCCTAGGGGAATATTTTTAGGACGTGCTTTAATGGTGCGTCATGACGCTTACCCACCCTGCTGGCCGATGCCATGAGGAAACGAAAGAAGAACAGAGGAACTAAAAGAAAACTACATATTTAATTTTGTTTATTTTTTTTGTCCTCTCAGTTGCTTTTTAAAACAAGTGCGTTTGGCGGATATGGCTCGATTTATTTGTTTGCACCTGTTGACGCTGGATAAAAATGCCGGATCTAGTAAGAGCGGCCCCACTGTTTTGTGAATTGTGAGACCCCATAACTGCGACGACCATGGTTCGAGTTCTGAGAGGATGGATAAATGCTCAAATTTTTCAGCCATTTGGCCGGAAGCCATCGGTTGCTTGCCTACCATCAGCGTCAGGTTTGTCCAGGTATGTTCTTCTTTTAACAGTTAGCAGCCCCAACCTTGGTATTATGATTCCTTTTGGACGAGAGTGATTGGGGAGACCAGCCAACTGATATAGCATTTTAATAATTAGAAGGTAGGACGGGCTCACTATCGAGGCTCATTGTTTCGCCGGCTGTCCGTGTCGCCCTCGGGAGTCCAAGTTACAAACATTACCTAGTGGTGTGTGACAGGTGCTCCAATTATCCAGAGGTAGAGGACCTTCATGACGGAACTGCTAATGGTGTGATCACCAAACGTTCTGACATTGTTTCACGTCATGAAATACCATTAAATGTTTGCACAGACAGAGGTCCGCAGTCTTCTGCAAAAGAATTCGAATGCTTCTCTATGTGTTAATATTTTATTCATTACAGTCTTCAAGCCTTTGGTATCCCCGCTCCAATGGCCTAGCGGAGAAAGGCGTCCAAGTGGTCAAGCGGATAATCCGCAACGCACAATCAACAGAATGTGACTTTTCTGTTGGGCCTGCTCAGTTACCGTGTGGCTCCTCTGGAAGGCAGTCTGTGTCCGTCGAAGCTTTGGATGGGTCAAGGTATCCGAACCCTTGTTCCTGACTTTTCTTCGGGTCCAGCACCGCCTGTCCGAACGCACACCCAGAACCTCAAAAAGGGACGACATCTAGAGCCTCTGCAGCCAGGAGACACCGTTCGTATTCTAAACAACGGAAAGTGGTCCATGAAAGCAACAATGGGGCTGGATGTCGCTCCTAGTTCTTGCAGCGTCATCACAGAAGATGGCAGGACGTTCCGTCACAACCGGCAACATTTCCTGGACGTTGACGAGGATTGTGATTCAGGGACAACAGAAGAAAACGGCGGCTCGGAATCGAAAAATGAGGAGCAACCGGAGTCGCCTGGACCAGAATCTACAGATGAAGATACAGAGGACTATGAAGCACCGCAAACTCAGACACAGCAGGAGTCCTCATCATGTCGATCTGGCAGATGTAGACGGCTTCCAATGGAAGTTATGATATGTCGTCTAACAGATGCCGTAATTGTTTTTTTCCTCGTTTGTTTATGTTTTTGGTATTCTAACATTCTTCTCTAGTTCTAATTTTACATTTTCGTTTTCCATTTTTTATAACTTTAGAGAAAAGAGGATGTACTACGAGGATAGCTTTGTGGTGCTTAAATAAAAGACGACGACGAGGGGGTCGTTCCAATCTCATACTGGTGTCCCGTCCATCACCCGCAGTCGTTCATCACAGAACGATACAACCATGAGCTTTTCCCGCACTGTATTTCTTTCCGAACCAGTTTCCCTCACAAGTAAGGAAACTCGCGTTTTGAACGCAGTTGCTGAGTCCTCTGGCTGCCGATAAAGTTTGTGTCAACGCTGCGATGTTAAACTGATACAACCCAAACCAGGCCATTTCACGAAATTCAGGTCTCACCTTTGCTATTCCTCGAGCCATATAACCTTCGTCAACACCACGCGCCACTCAAGAGTGGTAAATCCTTCGCGAAACCAAAAAGCGCATTTAAGAGGGCAAATTCAAAGCAACCTACTTGGTTCATTGCACCGTAACCAGAAAATATCCCGAAGCGTGAAAGAAGGTTAACTACCTCCCCACCAAATGGCATGGTCAAGAAGAGCAGTGAGAAGTAGCTAGGCTAGGTAGCGCTGGTACCGCCCAATTCCTAGGCCACAAAAATAATTTTGCTTCCTGACGGAGCCATTGCGCTTCGAGCATGTTTATCATGCACACATGTACGTACATTTCGCAAACTCGATTACACGATGGCATCAGCTCACCATCATATACAATGCGCATATAAACAGATCATACAAACGTCAACATGAACATTGACTACCCCGATTAATAATGCCAAAGGCTGCGCTTCCACTTTTTATAGACGTGGTTTCAAAAATACGTATTTTCTCGGTGATTACCTCAGCAATAAATAATGACCCCAGTGTGTGGATCTTCCTTTCAGTAATGTTATTCCTCAGAAGGTTTTGCGATGAGCCAAGAGAAAGTCTCTTATTAAAAAGTGCACATCCATGCCGTAATTATTTCGATATCTGATATAATAACCCGCTCAACTGCGGTTCCCAGCAGCCACGTGTTCGCTTTCCCGCAAAGCACGTCGTAGAATGGCGCGAGGGACGCGTTTTTCTATCGAGTATTTCATTTTATTTTTGCGCTGCTCGTGTGCGGCCGCAATTGTCATCTTGAATTTACCTCTGCATAGGAGATAATCACTCAGCTAGAACCATGGCCGCGATTCGCGGCAGGTTTGTTCGCAGATAACTACGCTGTGGCGAGTTCAAAACCAAGCTACTCGGCCACAAGTCGACTGTCTGCCAAACACTGTCCGGCAGCGGTGGTGGTGGTGGGGGGCGAGCGAGATTTAGGGTTGCATCGGGCCGATACACTTTTAAGGGGAAGGGGAGGAGGGGGGCGGGGGAGTAATGCCGCGCGCATGACCGAGAGGGCACGCAGTATTTCTAGAAGACTAGAAGAGAAGTGTTTCTCTTTCCATGAAGTGTAAAAGATAACCAGGCCAGAATGACCTTGCCGTGTCAGTCCCACCCTAGCTCACTCGCGAACATTCTAAGTCGAATATTCGAGATAGCGAGTGCAGTAGACACGGAGCTGATCGTGGCTTTGCCGACTCGTTCAGACTCTCTAGACAACGACGCACTCATTCTCGCTCCAGCCAGTTGTGACGAAGACGCCGCGACGTCCACAACCTCGGTTTCAAAACTCGCGTTTTTTTTTTCCCCTTTTCTTCTTGTCTTTTTTTTTTGGGGGGGGGGGGGGGGGAGGGGGGAGGGGAGGGGTGGTAATTGCATGTTGATTAAACATTTATTTTCAGTTTACACTCGTCGAAACTTTTCTATTCGCGACAATACCTTAAAATGGGCGGTTAATCTCACTATCACGACGAACACAAAAGTTGGAGCCTACATTCACTTACGTGTATTTATCGTGATGCTCGGTCATTCTCGTCAGATGAAACACACTCTCTTTCTCTCCCGGGTAGAGACCCTCGAGCACATGAGCCGCACTCCTGAAGCATCTGCGATACAATTAACAAAAGGTATAACATCTAAAGTGGGACGGCCCTAGAGTTTTGCAGGGTTAGAGATACTCGCATGTATCAGTGAGAGAGCAAATTATTAATGGCAACGTGGTGTCGAAGAAATATACCGGTTCATAATAATCACTTATTTGATTTCAGCTTTTTCTGAACTCGGTACACTTGCAGTAACACGGAGCTCATTCCAAGTATCTATATAACAAAGAACAAAAAAACATGTTTATGGCGCGCACTAGTTTACTTTCTTTTTATGAAACAATCTGAGTTATAAAATCTATTGCAAAAATGGCTGTGACTTTCTGTATGTTTTACCGTTGTGTTTACTTGCCGTTTTTGTCCTCAGTCACGCTGACATACAACTTGTTCCTACCTCTCTTGAGGAAACTTCTCGTAAAAATCTAAATAAACTTCAACTCATTTCAATTCAAATTGAAGGCCATAGTAGCCAGGGCCTCTCACACGTTCATTCTTCTGACGTCACTGGGAGTGCCATCCGGCTTCCCGATGGGTTTTTCCTTCGGGTCCTCCAGCACTTCCTCGACAACTGTCGACTTCTCAAACATTAGCTCCGCTAGCATTACCCACGAGCTCTTGAGACAAAAGGCGTTTCGTCACGGGGCTGACGGCAAGTGTTGCGGCGGAGCGGGTGTGGACTATGATTCCTATAACCGCAAGACGAGGCTGAAGATCGTCAGAATATATGTTCTTCTCTTAGCGATTACGTAGCGGAATTGTAAACTTCAATTAAAGATGACGCGTGTTTTTTTTTTTTTTTTCACTTGTGCCAAGACAAAAAGTTGAAAAATAGAACCGTTTTTAGGGCGAGCTTGTTGGTATTGGGTAAACATTTTTCCAAAGAAATACGCCTAATTCTTTTCATTTACTATTGCAAGCTGCAAACTCTTTCAAAGATAAAATTGTTGCACTGCCCCTATAAGGGCGCGTAGAACATCGCACTCGAAGTGTTTTCCATTGCACTTCACATCGAACAGTTTGACCATGAACGGAACTATACATATCTCATTTTATTTTTTTTTTTATATTAAGCATTTAAAGAGGGACCGGGATGAACTTACAATGGAGTCTGGACACGTAATGACGCTGATTATGAGTTTCATGATGCAAAATCCGGCATACAATATGCTGTTCCCAAAAACGATCGGGCATTTTCATGGCTGCCAAAACGAGCCGCTCGAGCTCGTTTTGGTAGCCATGTCGCTACTCTTGGTTTGTCTGGCGAACTTAACTGATAAACCGACGGACTTCAGAATGGAAGTATCACTGCAGAAGCAACGAAATGTGATTCAAAATAATGTGCGGCATTGTGATTAAATGGAAATGTGGCGGTAGTCTTGTGCAATGCTTTAAGTTAATCGCCTGCGTCCTTATGTCTATCTTTTCGTTGGATTTGCAAGTCGTGAGCACGTATAGCTTTGCAAAGAATGCTTGTTACTTCCTCTTGCTCGTGTCCACCAGATGTTTCTTGTGTAATTTCAATCTTATTCGTGTGATGTGAGTTTATGGCAAACGCAACCTTGAGAACGCAGTGGTTCTTGTTTGCATGGTACATTGCGTTCGTTCCTTGTTGCTGAGGCAGTTTCACTAAATTATCCCATAGCCGCTCACCTAACCTTCTGCATTCTGATACGGTGAGAAACACATGCGCACAACTTCACAATCTTAGCTTGGTTAGGTTTGTTTTTGTTTTTTTCAAGTGACAGTTACGTGAAATAAAGCTCGAACGTAACCTTTACTTGCAATAGACAGAGTTAATTAGATTCCGGCTGTGCTTATGAGAAGTTGCATTCGCTCCAGCCTCAAGTTCAGGCGTCATAAGGAGCAAACAACGACACAACCTTACGCTTGAGCAGCTGCAGCGTCAGACTAGCTTCTCCTATGTTCTTCTGCCTGCTTGCCGGCCGTCTTGCAATGTTCGCCAAGAAAAGCAAAACAAAATAAACCAACCGTAAATTGCCACAGAGAGAGCGAACTGCTGTCCGGGGGTACTCTAAGAGCCCGTTTAATGGAGACTCCGACGGAGTGACTCGAGTTCGGGTCATGGAGTTTGCGATCTTGTGTGCTGATATCCTCTCTGTCGCCAGTTATCTTTCTCCGGAGGGTCGTGACGTCATCGCCGGCTCCCCGAGCCAGCTTAGTGGCGAGCAAGGGTCATCCGATTCCGCTGATGACGTCACATGTGCTAGTTTTTCTCTTCACTCTCGCGCATTCTAGAGCTCTTGTATAGGCTGACTACGTGAGCGAGAGTTGCGCGTTCATCCCCGTAGCGCCATCGTTTCTGCGCGGCATTTGGAGCCTGCTCCTCACGCGACTGAAATCGGAGAATAGCGGCGCCGCGAGTTCAGATCGCACGGCGCGCTCAAAAGCAGGGGAACGTACACCGGGACGCGTGCAACGTCTACTTTCCTGCGCGGCATTTGAGTCTGCTCCTCTCGTGATCGGATCTCGGTGAATAGCGGCGCAGCGGCACGTGGAAAACAGACGCGCAACTGTTGCTCCCGTAGGGAGTCTATACAGGAATTCTAGCGCCCCTTTCCGACCCTCGGCGCTCCACAGCGAGCGAGACCACGTCGGCACTTTAATTGGTTATAACGATGCTCCTACCAACGTTACTAGAACAACTCAGTTGGGGAACTGCAATAGGAGCCTGCTTAGAAAAAGTGGCTCCGAACCGCACTCGAGAACCGAACTAGACACGATCGCAACGCCGCCATTTCTCCAGCAGCCGCCACTCCGGGAACTGCACGGCTGCACGCATCGGTTCAGTCGGGTCGCGCAGGGGCCAGTGGCGCCATCTCGCAGTCTTATCTCGCCGTAGCTATGACGATGATGGCGATGATAAAATACGTTTATTGATTTTATAATTAAAGCTCAGGCGATTGCTCTACATAATGTCCTAAGAAAAAAAATTCTAAAAGTTTTACTGGTGCCCGTTTTCTCCAGGTAGAAAATGACGGATCACAGCAGCTGGAGTTTTCTTCCGAAATCCCCTGCTGGGTTTCATCCATTTAGTAAGGTTATTGGGCTTGTCTTCGGGATCTCTTCCTGCATGTGCATTCTCCCTCTCTCTTCTGGAGTGTTTCCAGTTCCAGAGGAGATGATCGGTATTTGGTAAGGTCTTCTCTACAAATGTTACACTCTGGTGGTTTCGATATGAATTACTGGTCATTTATCAAATTTGTGTGTGTCTCCTATTTCTTGACGAGGTGCGGGGTTATAGCACTTCCTATCCTTACCCTTCTCAAGAGAACTGTTTGGCATCTTTTGAGTTCAAAAGGGATGGAGTCCTGTTCCTCGGGATGCCTATTTCGCAGTTGCTTCTTTTGCCTTATTTATGAAAGCTATAAGATCCTAATGTTTACTCAAATTTTTTAACACTGTAGAGTACGGGTGATCTCGTTGACATTGGTCTGGTCTGTCGGAAAGGAGGGAATGACTGTACTCTTTCGCAACTTTGTTGGTAATGTCATCCCCTTAATTTCCGCATATCCCGGGATCCAACGCTGGAGTATCGTTGTATTCTCATTCTTCTGTGTTGTTATTGCCAACTTGAGGATTTTTAATATTGTCGGGCTTACCTTACATATTCTAATAACCACTTCTGAATCGGCGAAAAATGTTTATTTTTTCTTTTCGATTGTATTGCTGCATGCGTGTTCTACTGCAGCCAAGACTGCTTGCGCTTCGGCTTCCTCCGGCGTGTCTGCGGCCTTTGGGTTTGCCCATGTGCCCATGTTTAGGAGGTGAAAGGCTATTGTTGCTTTATTGTTGCTGACCGCCGCGTCCGTATAATATATCGCTACCTCGGGGTCATTGCGGGTGAGCTCAATTTCTTTGTTGTAGTTTTTTGGCATATTGACGTCTTCTCACTCGATGATCAGGGCCCATTCTCTTAGGAACGGGCGTGCCTTGAACTACCGTTATCCGTTCCCATGGTGGTATCTGTTCCGGAAAGTCATCCAGCTCGCTCTGTCTTGATCTAGCAGATTCATAATACGTCGCCATTGTTTCGTGATGAGCATTTCGATTTTATGAATTTCTTACTGTGTCGCTCATAATTCCTCAAAACTCGGGAAAGCGACACATTTCTGCTATTCGATCTTGACGTTTCTACGTAATTCTGCAATGCACCGTCTTGCTTCGTTTAGTAAAGTATTTAGTTTCTGTACATTCGTTTCACCGATCTTGTAAAATCTCAGCCCATACATAATTTTAAGATGAGCACCGTTTAGTCAGTGTTCGAGCAACTTTTTCTACCGTCCATCCGAGTCTGTTTGCGATTCTTCTAATCAGCGATGTTCCTTGTTGCCACGTTTTGGTCATTCTTTGCCCCGCAAGGTGCACCTGTGAAAGCAGGTGTTTGGAGAGTGGCGTCTCCACGGACCCCGAGCCATGCGGGTTCGCCCGCCCACGTCTGGCTGTGCGTGGCTTTCCCGTGTTTGGGGAAAGGGGCACCCTGGTAAATCAGCCGAGCCCGGGGTAGGTTTAGACCCTTCGGGACCCCCGGGTGAGGCAATACACCACTTCGGCCCCCGCTTCTCGTAGACGGGAGTCCTGGTAATGCCCGGCCAGGATGATTCAGTCTCGTCGACTTTTCTTCTACTATCACCTTCAATCTTTTACCTTTACCTTTCCTGTTTCTTTTACTTCTCCTCTCATTTCTTTTACTCCTTTTTCACCCCTCTTTGGCGGCAAGGGCTAACCTTGGGTGGCAATAAACCTCTGTCTTTACCCACACTTGGGTATAGTTTCCCGGCAGCACTGTTAGCGTAACGTCTCTAGCCAAGCTCTTCTTGTTATGGCGCGTTACCTAACCCCTTGTTCGGCTCGGTGGTGGGCGGTGCACCGCGGATTCTGAACACTCTTTGCCCTTCTATGGCGCCCCACCCCTCTAAACCCCATTCAGGGCACCCCCTTAAAAGGCGCTGCCCTGAACGGAAAACCGTAGACAAAGAATGTGA